CTAATTTGTAAAAGGCTATGGACTAAAACCCAGGTTTGCCTAATGTCAAAACCTATGCTATTAACTACTATATAATTCTGCCTTTTAGCTGCCCCTCACCCAGCATGATAGTAATTCACCCTCTGTTCTTTAGAATCTTTTACTGAGTTTCCCTCTTCCAAACCTTTCTGCCTTCTTGCAAGCCTTATTCATACTCTTAACTTGTACATGTATCAGAGTCTCTGCTTATGATTTCCTTTCTATACTATGCTTAAATCACAAGATATTACTATGAGTAGAAAAGTCAGAGAGAACTTAGAGCAAATGGAAAAAGTCATGGGCTATTTCAAATTTAATCTGTATTTAATTTATGTGAAAAAGTTTCCTAGATATAAAAGGCATGAAATTATTTAAACAAAACTAATGTATAAGCAAAAAATCACATAAACCTTATATCAAAATCAATGTTCAAGATAAATCTGCCTTGGCATTTGAAAAAGCTATTCCAAGTTTTAGTAATTTTTAAAAAAAGTCTTAGTATTCTCAACTTTAGAAGAGCTCCTAAATTATTATTTTGAATAGGTTACAGTTGGCTCTAATTAACATAAAATAAAAACTCAAAACACAAATGCCCCATCCTCTAAGAGATTGGCTATAAAAAGGCAAAAACAGCAAAGGGGATAAAAAAGTGGATAATTTCAAAGATGATAAGTACTCCTGGCAACTCTTCTTGGCATTGCACAGACATAATCTGATTCTTGTCCTGCTATGCATGTCCTGTTATGCACCAATGTTTTCCATAAACAGTTCTCTGTTTTCACTACTTGCCAGCTTAATGTTTCTTTGACTTTCTAAGTGTGTAATGGAAGAGCAGAGTCGTGTAATGGAAGAGCAGAGTCAGACAACTTAACTGGAATTTTGACATCAGAAGTTTTCTTTTCCAAAGATTATGTCCAGTTTGTCTAAGGTACTCAGTTTAGAGTAATAAGACATGCAATGCTTTCAGGAGCTGCATTTTGAAAAATAACAATATTTTCTTGATGGGCATGACTAGCCTTTTCTTCATCTAAATCAACTGTTTGCTCATCTCCAGTCTATTCCCAATACAGAAGTCTAACCATGTCACTCTACTGTTTAAAAACCTCTAACTCAGAAAATAAAGCTTTATGCCTTTGACACAGGAGTTCCTTTTAGAAATGAACTCGTACGCTTTCACTCCTAGGCTCAAAATCTTGCAAGGCCTACCCATTTCACTTGGAGTCAAAGTCAAAGTCCTTACAATGCCCTAATTTTCTGCAGTCCTTTCTTTACCCCTCCAACTTTATCACTTACTATTTTATCCCTTGGCCACTTTGTTCTGGCCTCCTTTTTGTAATGCTTTGCATGTTCCCTATCTCAATGCTTCTGTTTTAGTTGTTCCCTCTTTCTGGAATGCTCTTCCCTAAGAAATCTATTGTCACATCACCTTCAAATATTTTCTCAAATTTTCTGCTTTTCAATGAGGCCTACCCTGAGCACCCTACAGAATACCACAAATCCTCTTTTCCCTCTGTACTCTGGATTTCTTCCATCTGTTCTACTTTCTTTTTTCCATAACATTTATTCCCTTATAAAATAGGATATCATTTACTTATTTTTTTTTTTTTTTTTTTTTTACAGACTATATCTCTCTCGGAATATAATTTCCAGGAAGGCAATTTTAGTCAATGACGTATATCCCGAGTACCTACAATATTGCCTGACACACAGCAAGTACTCTATAAATATTTGGTAAGTGAATTTTTTTCACCATATTTGTTACCCCAAATTTAAGAACAAAACTAAAGCAAGAGAAAACAGATGGCACTTTTAGTATTTCTCCAACATGAATATAAGTTTTAACCATCCTTGGAGTTGACCTGATTCCTATTTGGCACCGCCATAGTTGAGGCCCTTTAATTGCTTCCAATGAGAGTTCCTCCTTCATATGGTGGTCAGAATTAGCACTGAAAAAGCACAAACCTAAACAAATTACTCCACTGCCAAAAAACATCTATTTATCTTAAAAAAGAAAGTCTTTACTCCTTGGCTTGATATATGTGCCTTATATAATCTAACCTCAACCTAATTTATGACTCCTCTCCCACCTTTCCTTATAAACCTCATGATCTTGTCACACTAGAACATATCATTTATTTTCACTAAGCGATACTGAGTTGAATATTCTATATTTTCTTCATCTCCATGAATGCTATAGATCTTTCATGACCTAAGGCAAATGCCTCATTTCCTATCAGCCTTCTCTAATGCCCTGGGGTAGAGTTGTCCCTCCTATCTGTGCTCCCAAGGTACTTTCTATACCCATCTACTAAAGCAGATTAAAAATACCCTGTATTAAAAACATTGTATTATGTTTGAGTCTAGCTCCCCCACTAATCTGTAGATTCCTTAGTTATTCATCTTTTATATTCTACTTTTATTTCTTTTGAACTTACCCAGTAGTTGGCATAGTGCATGACATATAGAAAGCATTAAATACATTTGGGAGATTTAAGATTGCCTATGTGTTTAATGTTTTCCTGGATAACGATAATGTTCTAAAGTGCAGTTAGATTAGTTAATAGCTATTTTTCGAAACTAATTACATCCTACTCAAGATCTGGGAATTGGACTCTGAGCCTACAATTAAAAAAAACATTTTAACTAGTAGTAAATATTCCAAATATAAAAGCCTAAATCATAGCGTGATATAAAAATAGGTTAATATACTACCCAGCCTTTTAATTGTCATTAGATCAAACATGATCCAAGAGATCCTAGAAATTAGGATTGGGTTGAGTATATACTTGGTCACTATTCATTTCTGGGTCTAAGAAATCCCTTTAATAGTAGTATTAAAAATGAAATATATGGCCGGGAGCAATGGTTCACGCCTATAATCCCAGCACTTTGGGAGGCCGAGGCGAGCGGATCACGAGGTCAGGAGATCGAGACCATCCTGGCTAACACGGTGAAACTCCGTCTCTACCAAAAATACAAAAAATTAGCCGGGCGTCGTGGCGGGTGCCTGTAGTCCCAGCTTTTCGGGAGGATGAGGCAGGAGAATGGCAAGAACCCGGGAGGTGGAGCTTGCAGTGAGCCGGGATCTCGCCACAGAACTCCAGCCTGGGCGACAGAGGGAGACTCTGTCTCAAAAAAAAAAAAAAGTATATGACCTTGAAACTGATCAAGAGCAACTTTCCAAGTGAGATAAATGATGTGAAAAATCATATATTAAAGTGACATTTTACTTAACTCAAAAATTATCTTGAATTTACGCCATTTTAATTTTCACTGGGTAATTTCGTATGGAAAAATCACCTGCAATATGAGGATAACCTTACCTATTTTCCAGAAACCTAATGAGATTTTTATCAATGATTACAATACTTGCGTGTCTGTCTGGAATATAATATGAACAAGACAGGCTGATGGTTTTGGAAAATGTACCATGTTTCTACTTACTAAAGCATGAAAAGTGATTTGACAGAGTGCTTCAAGAATGCACTTTGCACTTGTTTTCCTTTCCTACCTTCAGGAAGATAAGTGAGACAAAAAAAAAAAACAAACAAACAAAAAACTAACGTTAGAATTCTTCCTGAATTCCTTTTTGAAGAATCCAGTATAATTTTTAGAAAATATTTACTCTAGAGAAGGCATTGTAGGAGGCATAAAAGGGGCCCGCATATGTGAGCAATTAAAAGTTAGAAGTTTTAAGATTCTCTCATTTCTTCATTCCCACCAGGAAGTCAGTGGTCCACCCTACCTCACTCTTTCTCCCCTGTCCTTTAAGCTGATTCCTGGCCAAATTCAGAATGGACAGAAGCAGTAAATCCGGCCCTCTGGACAAGAGATTGAGTTGGTTTACAAAAGTTTCACGAGTATCTAAGTCTAGGCCGTTACTGAATCAACTGGATAATCAGACTACCCGTGTCTGACTCTGAAGTGCAGATCAAGCTGACATTGTTGACAACTGGCTAGATCTTAGGTCTGGGCCAAGGAAATGGCTGGGGGCGTGTGTGTGTGTGTGTGTGTGTGTGTGTGTGTGTGTGTCTGTGTGTGTGTGTTGGGGTTGGGGGGCGGGGTCCAATAGTAATTATGGGTGGGGCCAAAGTCCTACCTTGTAAACAAATGCTACACGAAACATACGTAAAAACGTTTATCTATGTATGTAGTGAAGCTTTAAACACATCCCAAGACCCATGCTTATCCCCATACCCACGTCCCTCCAACGACACTGTTGCCCTATGCCACTGCTATACAGAAATTTTGGTGTCTACCATGCCAGAATCCCTGCCCAAAACAGGGAGGAGGTAAATGGCTGAAGGCCAAGCTCCAGGCACTGTGGAAAATGAGGAAAGTCTAGCGGCAAAAAGAAAGGGCAGTCCCCTCTTCCTCAAGTACTCCTAGCCACATGCTGGACCCATTCATCCCAGGCCCTCCAGGCCCTAGATTCTCATCCTTTCCCTGGCCCGAAGAGGACAGAAAAATCAAACACAACGGCTCCCACGTCTTCAGGAAAGACTTAGCTTAGCAGTCAGCGGAAGCACCTCACTACTAACCTCGCTCCTTTCTCCTGTCCTGCGGGAGGCTGGAGTTCCCGGCTTCCCACCGGCCAGACGCGATTCTGGCTGGGACAGCAACACCAAAAATGCCAGGGTTAGGGCGCCCCCTTCCCCGTCCGCAGTTTGCGCATGTGCGAAGAGGGGCTTCTGGTGGAGCCGAGGGTTAGTTGCTAAGAAACACAGTTGGATAGAAAAGTTCCGCTTAACGCCGGACTGCGAAAGGCGGGAACGTCACTCTATTGGTAGAGAGTAGAGAGAAAGGGCTGGTTTAAAGGCCTTCTTTTCTGTCCATTGGATGGACTGGATGTCAATCATTCAGGCTGGGTGGGCGGGGCTGAGAGAGGTCGGTGAGAGCGGCCTTAGCAACCGCTTGTGAGCTGTAACGACTTGGGTTGGGCGGGGCTGTCGGAGGTGACGCCGGGAGGTCCCGGCTGAGAGTGCCGGCTGGGGACATGGTGAGTGTGAAGCTGTAACCTTGTGCTAGGGCCGGAGCTGAAGTTTTTCCCCCAGAGCAAGGAAGGCTGCCCCTGGCAGCAACTGCATCCCTTCCTTACTCCTGTTGAGATTCATTATATAGTAGGAAATAGGTACTTTAATAGTTTGTCATCAATTATTCTGGTTCTGCTAACTATTCCAGTTATGTAATTTTTCTTTCACCCATATGTGTGTGTATTACAGACATCTAACTACCATACAAGTTCAGATCAATGGAAGAAAAGAGCAGCAAAAATTGAACGGAATGAATCCCAAAAGCAAGAAATTAAAGATGCCTTTAATTTATTTGATGTCGATAGGTCTGGAACCATCGATGTAAAAGAAGGTTCTGAAATTATTTCTAATTCTAAATCATTTTTAAAACCGTATTATTTGTGGCAATCTTTAAGGCTTTCTTTAACAGTAGTCTTCTGAAAGCTTGATATAGAGTCTCTTCAGTGCATATGGTTGCCCTGCGTTAACAAAACAATATCTTGTTAAGCATTTTAATTGTGCTTTATAAATGAGTAGGCAAAAGCCAGGGTGTAACAGTGATGTATCTGATGGCACAGTAGGATTGGAACACAGGCCTGCTGACCTAGTTTTCTATGTTTATGCTCAGTCCGTAATAGAAAAGAGAGAAGCTCTTAATAGGGCGTTAAAAAGCTTAAAATAAAATCATGGCATGTTATAATTTATTTTCTTCCTATTTCAGATTGCAATGTGGGCCTTAGGATTTGAACCAAAGGAAGAAGAAATTTTAAAAATGATAGCTGAAATTGATAAAGAAGGAATTGGCACCATTCGTTTTGAAGATTTTTTTGCCATTGTGAGTATAAAAATGATATAGTTGTGATTTTATTTTTCGAAGAAATACTAGCAATAACCTGCTACATTTTAGGGCTGCAGCAATCAGAGGTTTCATAGAGAAAGAATTGGAACTAGGTTTTTAAGGATGGGAGATAGGAAGAGCAAGATTAAATATGATTTCAGGGTAGTAATGAGAAGACTATGATGTGGAGAAGAGTTTTCTGTCAGGAAATAATGAGGCTATATTGCAGGATAGAGAGAATGGGGCCAGAATTTGGAAGCCTTGAATTCAGCAAACATGTATTGAGTGCCTGTTTTTGCCAGGCACTATTCTAAGGAGCATTGAAAGAGACAACCTTCCTGTTTTGAAGCTTACATTTTTGATAAAGGATCTGAATTACTAGGTTTAATAAGAGATGCATTCTCTACCACCCTGTGCCTCCTCCACTTCAGCAAGCTCTACATTTAAGCACCTTGAGGGCAGATGTGAGTACATAATTGTTAAAAGACCAATAAATAAAATCAGAACTCAGCTACTTGGCACATTGCTGCTTTAGACCCCAAGGATCTAGTAAGTCCAGCTTGATAAAATAAATAAATGAAAGACTATATAGTTGCTTCTTTTTTAAAAGAATAAAAAAGATGAAAAAGAAGAAATATTGAAGGCTTTCAAATTATTTGATGATGATGATACTGGAAGTATAACACTAACCAGTATCAAGAGGGTTACTCAAACTAGGGGAAAATTTAACATGATGAACTTCGGGTAGATTTTGCTTATTTTTATAATTATAATTTATAAGTAATTATAACTTATGTGATAATTTAGGATTATAATTCTAATTCTAGTTGTATTTATACATTTAAAATAAAATTTGGGTTTTGAATATGTGTTTGACTTCATTTATATCATTTTAAATGTATTTCATGTATTTACATTTTGTTTTACAGGAAATACTTGATGAAGCTGATCATGATGGAGATGGAAAAATAAATGAGGAAGAATTTTCAAGAGTGATGAAAAAGACTACTCTTTATTAATAGTGTTGTTTTGGTCCTTGTGGAAAATTAACAAATTTGTATTTGTTATATAGTTTTGTACTTTAATATCTGAATGTATTCATTTTAAGTTTTTAGTTTATATGTACACATTGGCTTCTTGATGTCTAATCCATGTAAGAAGTTACACATCTCTACCAGTATGTTGTTAAATCTACAGCATCAAGAAACAAAACATAATGACTTCTTTGAACCATTAATGCAAGAACAGTATTAATTCTACCTGCTCTTTTGAGAACCCTAGGTCACAAGGAGTTAGAATTTTTAAGTTTGATGAAGTTGGCTTCATATCCAAATGAATTTGGCAAACAAACCCTGTATTTTCCTTTTGTGCAACTCAAAAAAACCTGATGAACATTTGCTTTTTAGTCAGTTACTCAAATACGTAAAGTATTAAATGGAACTGTCTGGAAATATTATTTGCTAATTTTCTTCTTTTAGTTGTAAAGAAAATTCAAAACAGCATTTACATCACCCATATTTCCCTGTAAGTTTGACCCTATAGTGAGCACTTAATACCTCTGTGTTAGGACAGGTGGTGTAGGGAGTTTATTTTATTTTATTTTATTTTATTTTATTTTATTGTATTTATATATTTTTTGAGACAGAGTCTCCCTCTGTCACCCAGGCTGAAGTACAGTGGTGCGATCTTGGCTCAATGCAACCTCTGCCTCCTGGGCTCAAGCAATTCTCCTGCCTCAGCCTCCCTAGTAGCTGGGACTACAGGCACCCGCCACCATGCCCAGCTAATGTTTTGCATTTTTAGTAGAGACAGGGTTTCACCGTGTTAGCCAGGATGGTCTCAATTTCCTGACCTCGTGGTCCACCTACCTTGGCCTCTCAAACTGCTGGGATTATAGGCGTGAGCCACCGCGCCTGGCCGAGATTTTATGTGTTATCTCAGTTAACATATTACAAGTTGGAAGCTGATTGTATTAGCCCCATTTTACATACAAGAAAACTAAAGTTCAGAGAAGTTTTAAACATTCCCCAATTGCCCATTGATAATAAATAAAACATGGATTCCAAATCTTAAGTTCTTATTCTTCATTATACTGCTTCCCTATGGATAAAACTTTCAAGATAACTGTATATTTTCTAACTCATTTTCAATTCTGTGACTCTTCTAATTTCTTCCTTGTGAAAGGGCCAAACTGTTGGGAAATGGAATCCCATACATATAGTCTTTTAACTCCTACTCAGTTGTTTTGAGAGTGGGCCTTGGGCCTGGAACACTTCCTTTGAAGAGACTAAGAGTCCACAGGGTCTGTGCTGAACTTACCATCTTATATAGTAGTATCTTCTTCTGTTTCAGAGTCAATGTGTAGTCCTTTGCTCTGCTTAAGCGTGTGCAGCCATGTGCATCATATGGCATCTGACCAACCCCACTGCTCTGTCTCCTGTGGGGGAGGGGATGGGGGTCCTTCAGCACAAGAGGAGTGTGTGCAGGCCACGTACCCTGTGTCAGCTGCCAAGAGGGAGCCTCTGGTCAGGGGAGCCTGAAGTCCACTAGGGAAGCTGATCTTGCTCTGTCTCTTCTGTATGTGAGCAATGTGTGTTCCACCCGGTGTTTGACTGCATTGTTTTCCTTGGCGACTTTGAAACAAGATGCAGTGGACCGAAGTGCTCAGACTTCTGCTCCTGACAAATAGGCAACAGATGCCACTTGCTGCACACAAACACCTTCTGATAACCAAATTGTCTTTGGAGCAAGAAAGGCTCATAGCAAATGTAACTGTAGTGATACTACCTGGCTCATTTTTAGCGCAACTGAAATGAAAGCTGAAGGTTTTAATTTTGTCTTGTCAACACAGGAGACTTTATTTGATTGAAACTAGAATTGTATGTGCTCATGAGCATAAGTGTTTTCACAGTGTCTTTGATTTCTAATTATGTAACATTTCTTCTAGACCAGAGAAGAACTTGCCTATTAAATGTGTTTCATATGTGAAAATGTTAACCTTTAAAAGGTTAAAAGTATCCATGAACAAGTTCAAAAAGTTCTAAATAAAAGACTCCTTCCTATCGAAGCCCCAGATCTTCCTAAAGACAAGGATTTTTGCCACTTTTTAATGAGTTATTACAGAGAATGCATATTCATATGCACATGTATACAGAATAGTTTTTTCACAAATGATAGCATATTATACACACTGTGTATATTCATTTTTGCACAATATACTTGACAAATAGTTACATAACAATACATATAAAATATCTGTATATTTCATTCTAATGGAATGGCCATAGAATTCATTATATCAATTATTATATTTGACAGTCTTCTAAAGGTAGACAGTTTCCAACCTTTTGCTTAAATTAATACCCTTATACATATGTTTAATGTGGGAATACCTGTAGAATTAATTCTTACACATGAAGTGATTGAGTTAAAATCAATATGCATTTTAACTTAAATGTTTTTATTTTTGATAGATATTGCCTTCTAAAAAGATTTTTGCCAAATTACATTTCCAAAAATACTATATGAAAATGCCCAAAGTAATATCAAACTTTTTTGATTTCTGTTAATCTGGCAAGTTGCAAATCATACATTTTTCATGCTCATTTCTCTTATGAGAGGCATTGAGTGTTTTTTTTCACAAGTTTAGACTCTATTTGTCTTTTCCTTTTTGTATATTGTCTAACAACGTCCTTTGCCTATTTTTCCACTGGATTTTAAAATTTATTGGTTTGTGGCTGGGCACAGTGGCTCACATCTGTAATTGCAGCACTTTGGGAGGCTGAGGTAGGCAGATCACGAGGTCAGGAGTTTGAGACCAGCCTGGCCAACATGGTGAAACCCCGTCTCTACCAAAAATACAAAGAAAAAGCTGGGCACGGTGGCAGGCACCTGTAATTCCAGCTACTTGGGAGGCTGAAGCAGGAGAATCTTTGAACCCAGGAGGCGGAGGTGGCAGTGAGCAGAGATTGCACCATTGTACTCCAGCCTGGGCAACAGAGCAAGACTCCGTCTCAAAAAAAAATACTGGTTTGTAAGAGTATTTTATATACAAAAGAGATTAATCTTTATCTGTCATATATGTTGCATGCATTGTACCATTTGTTATTTGCCTTTTGATTTGCATTGTGTTTCAGCCTTTACATTTTTTTCTTTTTTTTAAAAAAAATTTTATTTCCATAGGTTTTGGGGGAACAGGTAGTATTTGGTTACATGAGTAAGCTCTTTAGTGAGATTTTGGTGCACCCATCACCTGAGCAGTATCACTGAACCCAATTTGTAGTTTTTTTATTTCTCACCCCCTCTCACACTTTTCCCTGAGTTCCCAAAGTCCATTGTATCATTCTTATTCCTTTGCATCCTCATAGCTTAGCTCCCACTTATGAGTGAGAACATATGACATTTGGTTTTCTATTCCTGAGTTACTTCACTTAGAATAATAGTCTCCAGTTCCATCCAGGTTGCTGCAAATGCCATTAACTCATTCCTTTTTATGGCTATGTAGTATTCCATATTGTGTATATATATGACAATTTCCTTATCCACTTGTTGATTGATGGGTATTTGGGCTGGTTCCATGTTTTTGCACTGGCGAATTGTGCTGCTATAAACATGGATGTGCAAGTATCTTTTCTGTATGACGACTTCTTTTCCCCTGGGAAAAGTAGTGGAAGAACCAAATTCTGCCAACAACCATGTGAACGAGCTTTGAAACTGATCTTTTCCCAGTTGACCTTTGAGATAGTACAACTCTAGTTGACACTTTGATTACAACAAGCGAGAGACCCTGAAGCAGAGGAACAAGTGAAGCCGCTTGATCAAATGGTATGTCTACTTTCGGTTCTTTAAGGAATCTCCACACTTTTTTTCATAGTGGCTGTATTAGTTTACCTTCCCACCAGCAGTGTAGAAGTGGTCCCTGTTCAACGCATCCACACCAACATCTATTATTTTTTGATTTTTTGATTATGGTCATTCTTGCAGGAGTAAAGTGATGTCGCATTGTGGTTTTTTATTTGCATTTCCCTGATCATTAGTGATACTGAGCATTTTTTCATATGTTTGTTGGCCATTTGTATATCTTCTTTTGAGAATTGTCTATTTGTGTCCTTAGACCACTTTTGATGGCGTTGTTTTTTTTCTTGCTAATTTGTTTGAATTCCTTGTAGGTTCTGGATATTTGTCCTTTGTGTATAGATTGTGAAGATTTTCTCCCACTCTGTCAGTTGTCTGTTTACTGTGCTGACTATTCCTTTTGCTGTGCGGAAGCTCTTTAGTTTGATTAAGTTCCACCTATTTACCTTTTGTTTTTGTTGCATTTGCTTTTGGGTTCTTGGTCATGAAGTCTGCCTAAGCCATTGTCTAGAAGGGTATTTCTGACGTCATCTTTTAGAATTTTTATAGTTGCAGGTTTTAGATTTAAGTCTTTGATCCATCTTGAGTTGATTTTTTTGTTTGTTTGTTTGTTTGAGATGGAGTCGTGCTCTGTCGCCAAGATTGGAGTGCAGTGGTGGGATCCTGGCTCACTGCAACCTCCGCTTCCCGGGCTTAAGTGATTCTCCTGCCTCAGCCTCCTGAGTAGCTGGGACAATAGGTGTGTGCCACCACATCCAGCTAAATTTTTGTATTTTTAATGGAGACAGGGTTTCACCATGTTGGCCAGGATTGTCTCAATCTCTTGACCTCGTGATCTGCCCACCTCGGCCTCCCAAAGTGTTGGGATTGCAGGCGTGAGCCACTGCACACGTCCTTGAGTTGATTTTTATATAAAGTGAGAGATGAGGATTCAGTTTCATTCTCTTACATGTGGCTTGCCAATTATCCCAGCACCATTTGTTGATTAGGGTGTCCTTTCCCCACTTTATGTTTTTGTTTGCTTTAATGAAGTTCAGTTGGCTGTAAGTATTTGGGTTTATTTCTGGGTTCTCTATTCTATTCCATTGGTCTATGTGCCTATTTTTATGCCAGTATCATGCTGTTGTGGTGACTATGGGCTTATAGTATAGTTTGAAATTCAGTAATGTGATGCCTCCAGATTTGTTTTTTTTTTTTTTTTTACTTAACCTTGCTTTGGCTATGCAGGCTCTTTTTTGGTTCCATATGTATCTTAGGATTGTTTTTTCTAGTTGTGTGAAGAATGATGGTGGTATTTTGGTGGCAATTACATTGAATGTGTAGATTACTTTTGGAAATATGATCATTTTCACAATATTGATTCTACCCAAGCCTCTACATTTTAAGTTTACTTCATGAGATGATTTCTACAGATGTTTGTACTGTGTAATAGTAAAATGGCAATGCTTTGTCTTTTAACAGTATTTAGTCTCATAATGATCATATGACTCTTACCAGACTATGGCCTAATTCTAAGAGTAAAAAAAGAAAGGAGCTTTTTAAAAAAAAATAATAATAATAATCATGCCATTGAATTTTCCATTTGAAACAGAATCATCTTCACTTTTTAGTTGAGATGATCTAGA